TAGCGGAGATAAAGATATCGACAATCTAATAAAAGAATGCAACAAAACTAATCAAGAAGATAAATTATTCGAATGGATTCCTTTTGAAAGATTTCTTGCAAAAGGAGCTTTTGGAAAAATTTATAAAGCAAACTGGTTGGATGGACGAATTTACAAATGGGATCATGAAAAAAATAAATTTGAACGATATGGAAAACGAGAAGTTGTGTTTAAATCATTATATAATTCAGAGAAAATTACTCAACAGTTTACAAATGAGATAAAAAATGATTATGGAATAACTCAAAACCCCGTTACAAATGAATATTCGCTAGTGATTGAATCGCATGATTGTAGTAATTGTACAGAGTGTCAAAAAAATTATCGCTGCAATGAGTGTTTCTATTATCACAAACGAACTTATAATGATGAATTTTCTAGCGGAGATAGAATTATCGACAATCTAATAGAAGAATGTAACGAAATTAATAATAATAGCAAGCACAATAAAGATAAGTTATTCGAATGGATACCCTTTGAAAGATTTACCAAAGTAAAATATCTTGCAAAAGGAGGTTTTGGGTCAATTTATAAAGCAACTTGGTTAGATGGACCATCACGTTATGGGTATTGGGATCATGACAAAAATAAAAGTAAACGAGATGGAGAATGTGAAGTTGTGTTGAAATTATTAAACAATGCTAAGCAAAAAATTACTCAAGAGTTTATAAATGAGGTAAAAAATGAATATGTTCTAAAGTGGAAAGTTGGTAATTTTTTATTTTTCTGACGTAATCAAATTTTCCAAAATAGACTCGAACTGCTCTTAAATGTATCAACAGCGCTGTTATAAGATATTACGGAATTACTAAAAATACAGTTACAAATGAATATTCAATAGTGATGACTTATGCAGAAAATGGTGATCTCCGTAAATATATTAAGTCCAACTATGAAAAACTGACTTGGAATCAAAAATTAAGTTATTTAAAGGATATTATCAGTAATCTAAAAATAATTCACGCAGAGGAAGTCATGCATCGTGACTTTCATCCCGGAAATATATTATTAATGCAAAATACGCTTCAAATTGCTGATTTTGGGCTTAGTATTACAACAAATTTAAAAAAATCTAACCAAGAAATTTATGGAGTGGTTCCTTATATGAGTCCAGAGATATTAAGTGGTAAGCCATACACTTACGCTGCAGATATTTATAGCTTTGGGATGATTGTATACGAAATTATAACTGGCAAACAACCTTTTTGTGAGCGAAGTCATGATTCACATCTTATATCCGACATCTATAAAGGATTACGACCTGCGATACCAAATAATGTTCCTAGATGGTGTAAATTTATCCTTGAAAAATGTTGGGATCCTATTCCAGAAAACAGACCAACCGCTGAGGAACTTTCGAACTTTATTCGGTCTATCTATGATAAAGTTAGTTATTGGTCACTTAATAGATTGCATTATCAGTACTATCACTCTTTAGAATATAAAATACATGAAGAAATTGAAGAGTGTCTTAAATCAGAAAGACAGAGATGGAGAAAATTGGATAAGGAGAAGAATTGGAAAAAATTTAATGAGAAAGAATTGATTTCTATAAATACGAACGAACAAATTCATCCGAATGCAATTTATACCAGTCGACTGTTTACTTCAAAATTAATATCAATTTCAACAGGTACATGTACGCACATTTATTTTGTATTTACATGTAATCAAAAAATAACATTTTAAATATATCAAGCATTTAGGTTCTACAAGTGTTAGTTTGTGCATGTATGTTCCAAATGAAGGTAAATTCAGTTTTCAAAAAAGATAACATTAATACATGTATGTTAAAAGTACTGTTTTCACAAAATTCTAGTATGCGTGGCTACCGAATATGATATCGATGCCAAATCAACAAACATCAGTTCATATGCACCTAATGAAACAAATGAAGGTAAAATCTAGTAAATACATGTATATGCCATAGTAATAATTATCTGTTTTTTACATATTGCATGCACATGTATAATGATATTGACATTATGAATGAAGGAATAAAACACCGAAATTCAAATTTTAAACTAAAAATATATACTATTAATTATTAGATAATTTGATTTAAATTGAAAAACAAGTGTCCTAATGGTAAATGTGTCGAAAGAGTCAAATGAAAAGTTTAAATAGTGATGGAATTAAAATCACAGTAAAAATTTTATAAGTTTGCTTTATAAAAATACATATACATATGTGCACGTATTAATCTTAAACATTTGTTACCAAATAGTTAGATATCGAATTTACAGATCTCACAAAGCTTGTGGGTCAACTATATTTACTTTATGAAAATCTTTATCGTAAATTTCGTTAACAGTTCTCCCCTCCAATCCATTACCATATACATGAACCTCTATGACTATAGTTATTATAGAAACACTAACAAAACTTTTACTTGTTGCTGCCTTTTTGTAGGTCAATTCGACAAATTTATAGTATGATTTTTATTCATTATAACAAAAATAATATTCATAACAATTCAATAATTACAATAATTATGAGAAATTAACTTTATTGACATGATTTTTTATTGTTTGATCATGGAATTGTGAAGATTAATATCTGTGATAAATGCCAACCAATCAAACATCATAGCTGACAGGTAGCTAAAATAATGAATCAAAGTCTGCACAGAAAGTAATTGTGTTTAGTTTTTTTTAAAATTAAAATTTAGTTTGACATATATTTTAGCATGTCTGAATCATAATAGTGTTACACTCCTTTCTAAAGATGTTGGATCTAAAGAAAGTAGGACACAACACAATGTAGGAGTGCTTGACTGAATGATTTACAGGGAGAGTGGTTCTCTGATTGTTCTAAAAGTCTCCTGCGATAGTTTTTATGAAAACTATTATGTACAGTAAATAATAGAAGAGTGCTTAAAATAAAAGAGAAGTTGGGATAGAATCATTAACGGGATTTCAAAGGAATTCTGCTCACTGCCAACACAAAATAAAGAGTTGACTTCCAACAAACTATTCAATATGAGAATTAGACACAAAGCAAATTCTAAAAATCACAAACTAATACACATCAACTTTTTAAGGCAAAAGAAGTAAAGCCATCAATTTTGTTAAGCACAGAAGAAATAAAGCTATCAATTTCATTATGACACGAAATAAATAAGAGCAGGAATGCATTTAATTATATTTCACAGAAACTTAATATTTAATTTATTCAAACCGCTCATTACTTAATTCTCTACCCTTTGGATGACTATACTTTAAGTACAATTTTTAGAACTACATCAATCTGATATGTAGTTTTATCTAATAATTTCATATTGATAATAATATCTTGAACTAGAAAATTAATAAAATATAAAATTCAAGAAATGCTAGCTAAAATCATTTTTAAATTCATATCTAATATCTATAAGTTATATATAAAAAGAAAAGTAATATATTATAGCATAAAATTAAACTGTATTATTATATAAATTCTGATTCATATAATAGATATAAAATCAGATTTTATAATTAGTAAAATTAGTATATATAATTAGATATAGTCATATATTAAAGTTATAATTGATACATCATTAAGAAGAATGATTTGATATAAAGTATATTATAAATTCTGAATATATAAAGATGTATCAATAAAATAATGACTAATAAATCAAAATAAAAATGATTTATTATAAGAAAAATAAGAGAAAATTCAATATAATTTTAATAAACTTTAATTAAAAATTATTATTACTTCTATTTAATATATACTTTTTCAAATTATTATTACAAAATTATTATTGATCTGTCTCAAGTTCTCTATTAAAAAAGAAGTCTATCCTGAGAGTACACAAGAAATAATAAAATTTGATACTATGATTAACAAATTATCTTCTTAGATAGAAACTAGTAATATTATTATTAAGAGAAAGTTAATCAGACAACTTGACAAGAGATCAGTAGTAATTGATATAATAATATAGAAAATATAGAAAAATAACTAGAGATAATCTTAGTCTTATGATTTACTTGATAGATTTCTCATATCTCATATCTAATCCAACAGATAAAATATGTATATTAATTATGACAATAGTGTTACACCTGGTCTATGAGATTTTTAAAGATAGAGTTTTAGACTATGATTTATTCATTCTTGGAGGGCTTCTTTATGATTTTCTAAAGGTTTTGTGCAGTAGCTATAGTTACTGTGGATAGTAAAGGTAAGTTTATTTATTCTGAAGTATGGCTGAGTAGTGGGGAAGGGGATTACACGACCAATTACAATTGATTATTTAGCTATAAACTGATTATGGATTATTTTCACAGAGTTATTCGATGTATGATCGAATCTAAGTCTTTTTATGGCTAGGCTACACTACAAAGGAAACAACGCGACAATGGCTTTCTTTCAATAACTCGGTAATTCTCTTTTAATTACTTTGTTCTTTTAATTATAACTTGTCTACGCCTATATATACATTTATGACTGCTACATTAAAAATAATTTTATTTACAAAGCGATCGAATAGTGAAAAACTTTGTATCAAACAGTGTACTAAAATATGCACAAACATTGTACCAATTATTGTACTGAACAAACATATAAAATAAACAAAAAAAATTAAATGTCACTGGGGATCGGATCCATATATTATCGTTAAAAAAAAATAATGAAAGTTGAATAACGTTCTATAAGTAATAATGGATATTATAAGTGGGCTATTGGTGTTATTATTGCTTTTTAAGATTATTATTGTATTTTTTTATTATTAAGTTTTATAGGCGTTACTACATGTATATTTTTTCTCTTTCGGACTATGTGTAGGTAGCACACATCAATCACCTGCAAGTCATTTCGGAAGGTCACGGGTTTTCAATCGCAATTAAAGAAATTCTAAAGGTAACAGTAGATGTGAATGTAAATTAAGTCGGGAATTCAGCATTATTATTGCTAAAAAAATAATACACGTAATTATCGAATATTGCATGTATAATTACTGTACTTAGAATTCATTTTTTCATGAATTCTTTGCATTTATCTATCCAACGGTAAACCTCATTTAGGTAAACATCCGCCATTTGCGATTCGTTTTTCAACCACTCGATGTCTGCTTCTTGATGTTTTGTCGTATTCTCTATTGATAATGAATCTAGCGCCATCTTAATATTTTCATAGTGGATATATCTAAAAAAATCAAATAAGTTTGTGTTTAAAAGAACGAAATATGCAAGTAGAAACGTACTTTAAGTCGTCCAGTAATTCCAAACATTCTTCATCCGAATTGCGATTATTGATTATCTTTTGCAATTTGATCTTGGTAGCGTCCATTTTTCTTTGTACTTTTGTCAAATCCACAAGGTTCTTTACGATTATACCTCTCAATATAAAATGGTATATCTTTTTCTTTCTCTCAGCAATAAACTTCCAGTAAAGTTCATTTTTGCAAAAATCTACCATCTCGTTATAAATCTTTTCTGGGATTGGATCATCAATAAACTTCCAGTAAAGTTCATTTTTGCAAAAAACTACCATCTCGTTATAAATCTTGTCTAGGATTGGATCATCTTTATGTGGTCGAGACTTTTGTTGTTTAAGGGCACTACGGAACCAAACTTGAATTTTGGTGGCCGCTTCTTTAGCCTGAGAAGGATAGGCCAAGCCTTGAGTTACTTTGAATATCTCAAACTTTTCATTATTCTGACTGTCTTCGCTAACAGACGCGATTGGCGTTAATACAATTTTTTGCTGCTTAGATGAAGGATCACGTTCTTCAATAACTATTGGTGCTGTGATTTGTCGAAGAGCAGAATGAAATCGCTCAACAGAGGTATAGTTAAGCTTTACAATACCATTTTCCTCCAAGTCGGAGAACTTTGACGAGTTTTCTGAATGATAATGGACGATTACCAAGGAGTCGCAATCAGTCTCTTTGAGGTCATCATGAAGAACGAACGCAAGACGACTCATAGAACTTCCGTTCAAGTATTTTGTGACCTTGGGAGAAAATGATTTTTTGGACCAGCATTTAAAAAGATCAAAGATTCTAGTTGCAAAATCTGATTCGTTTAAACCTATAAGAACTAAGAGTCGTATTAATCTAAGGATAATAGTCAAATAAACTTGTCCAGTAGAAATCAACAAATCGAAGAGCTGCTGAACTTGATCAACAGAGTTCGTGATTTCATCGAAATAATCAACTTTGTTATAACCATGTTGGCGGTGAATAAGCGGTTCCGCAGTAAATGCGTCAAAATAATTAACCAAATAAGCTCGAGTGAGGCAAAAATCACAAGATTCGGGACCAGATGCAAAAACCAAAGAAGTTTTGAACTCTATAAATGATATAAGATCACCAAACGCATCGGAAGTTTTTATATTGATTAGTTCAATATTGTTGATAACGTATTGGATAACCATTTTTATGTGCATGATCGCATCTAACACATAATTATTATCGAGCTTTGAGAAGAATAATGAAAGTTGCTTTCCAATAAGAATAGACTGGTATCTAGAGTAGTAATTGATACCGGTGGGTGTTTCCATACTAGGTTTTAGCATTCTTTTTTTTGACATTTCAAAATCGAATTCACAAATTCCCCATTTGTCATGCAATTGGTGAAGAACAAGCATGCATTTTAACATGACCGAAAAGTCATCGGGATCATAAAACATACGAGGCAGCCAAATATTGCGAACGATATCTAATAAACCATCACGTGTGTCCTTAGGGAGTTTAGCAAGAACCGCATGGGTGACTTCTGGGCAGCTTGTTTGAGGAGATTGATAACGGATATGAATTTTCACAAGTCTTTCGGTCCACCACCTTTGTAACTCACGAACCTTCTTAATTTGTCCCATGTTTAAAAGACGGTGATGATACAAGATATTCAATTGCTGCATCACAGTGTACTGAAGACAAGCGAGTGAGAAACGTTCGCGCAGAGTTGAAGGTGTCGGAATAACATGATGATTTCGACAACCACTCTTAGAACAGGATGCAAATTCAAAGCATATTTCAGAACTTATATCTCGAATATCTTTACCCTTCTGACCAGCCTCCACGATGCTTTTATAAATATACAAAGCAAGAGATTGTGAGATAGCAGAGTTCAAAATCTTCTCGTCGTATATATGCCAACCATCCGAGATGTTTCCACTTTTTTGATTATTCAGATTCAGAATATGGAGAATGTGATTGTCAGAAGATATTTTTCGTTTACGTGGATGCTTGGCAACTTCGTTTACAAGATAAATATCCTGAAAAACTCTGTTAATATTTTCATCTCGAGATGCTATAAAGAGAAAGGCCAGTTCACACAATCTCAATAGACATTGTAATCGTTCCTGCCAGTTCTCGATCTGAATATCAAACTTTAAGATATACAACCGTATGATTATCGCACGAAACTCGATGACGCGGTCTTCACGTCTTCTAAATAATTGCATGAACTTCCGGATTCCATCGAGATCCGAATCCCAATAAGTTTTATATAACTGGAACTCTTCTTTTAGGCTTCTATATTCTTCAGATTCCTTCCACGCTTGCGATTTGACTTTTGAAATAATATTGATTGCCTTGGAAAGATGATCTTTTAATTGAAAGAAATTTGGAGTCACTAATTTGATTCTACATAGATCCAAGCAACCTCGTAAATACTCTTTGGTCTCATCATCCTTGGTAAGCAAGCAAGGAAACATGCCAACCATACGAGGGAACATATCCGCCGCCTCTTTGAATCTCCCACGCGAGCGCAAGTCTTTAGCGGCGACACAAAAGCGACCATTCTTCTCGCAAACTTCCAAAAACTCTTCATGGGCATGTTCTTGAAGGAAATCTATTTTTTCCTCCAGAGTTGGAAAAATGGAAAGAGCTTTCGCACTCATATCTCTGTCCTTCGCCTTACGGTAATGGATGTTAGCACGATATATGATAGCTTTGAACTCATTCTTGTCAATATTTTCTCTGTTTTAATTAAAAGACTAGGTTATATCGTTTCTGAATATCAAAACCGTTCATAAAAAGGGTAATTACCTTAGCATTAAATTAACGACCTTTTCATAACATTGGCCATCATTATAAGAATAAACAGCTTCAGCATACTTGTTAACCTTTTCGAAATACTTTCCCGCTTTTTCAAAGTTAGGGATCTTAAGAAAACAATACGCGGCTTTATCAAACATATTCCATTCAACGTAAACTTCAGCAGCCTTCTCATACATGTTTATATTCTAGATATTTTGTAGATTTGTAAGAATCAATTTAAAACATTTATGCACTTATAGTAGTCAATTTAGAGGAATACCTCATAGCATGAAGCTGCCCGTATTGGGCGAGAACATTCTCGAAATGCTTTAGCTGCACGACAAAATTTCAAAATCATGGCATCTTCATCGGAATCATATATGGAAGATCTTGCTATTTTTTGAAAAAGATAGGCCTGAGCTAATTTAAAATTTTGATGATTTCCACTCTTCTTGAAGCATGTCATAGCCTGAAAATAATTTCATTTCTTTTAGTTTCACAAGTCATTAAATAAATGCTAAATATTGAAATTGATCAACCTCTTCATAAAGCCGTTCTTCAAAAACTTTCTTTCCCATTTGATTCCATTCTGCTGAACTACTCTTCTTAACCAACGTAGGAAACTCCTTAAGCAACGTAGAAAAAGTATCCTTACTTCCGATCACTTTGATTAGCTCAAGATCTCCCCAGTATTTGCAGATTGGTTCGATGTATTCACTTAACTCATCAAATATCCAAATGTGTTGCCGTGCCCTAGTAATTGCGACGTAGAGATTCTTAAGTTCAGAGGAAAGAATATAATACTTTTCATAAGAAAATTCTTGGGCTTCCTTGGACTTGGAAAGAATTAATTGCCACTATGATATATACATACAACAAAAACAACTTTCAATAGAAGATATAAGAGATAAAAGACTTTATGTAAATAATAGACGTGGGAAATTTACCCTCTGACGTCCAGGCGAATCAGTAAAGAAATTATATAATAAAACGTCATTAAATTCCATCCCTTTCGCTTCATACACTGTCATCACTATTCCAGCATCTTTAATGAGACCTTTGAGATGTGATTTAGATTTTTCATCACGTACGATAATAACTTGTTCAGCCCCGAATTCGATATCATTCTCAGTATTCTCACCAACAGAAAAAATATTGAAATAGGTTTCAGCTCTAAACTCCTTAACTATTACAGGCCGTGGACCGCCAACCTCGCTATGTTCACGTGATAGACGGTCGATTGATTCAGGAAAAAAATGGCAGATGAGATCAATTACTGAAGAGGCAAGCCGAAGAATCCCACTGTGGGCACGGTAATTGACATTTAGCTCAAATAGTTTTGTTTTTATAAGATCACGAGGGATATTATAAGCCTGAGCTCGATTGAGCTCCCATTCATACATCAAGGCGCGTAGATCTGCATTTTTATTCGTTGAGCATGAATAACATTACTTTTGAGTTCTAAATAGAAATTAACACATACTCTGGAATCGGAAAGAAGAGCCCTTGGCTATACATTGCGCTATATCACCGGCTAAAAAAATACTGTCAATGCGATTAAAAATCTTCAATATAAGACCAAAATCCACGATCTGGTTGTCTTGGCATTCATCCATATATATCTCATGAATTTGTGCACTTTCAAGTTCATTTTCCGTTGTACGACGTAAAATATATAGTGTACTGCCAGTAAAATTTAAGAATTCATGAATTCATGAACTCATGAACTATATCAAAAATTAATATATACACAGGTCTTACCGGTCCATCGCGTCATAATCACCCGTATATCTCCTTTTCTTGATCTTTTCATATTGCAAAAACATGTCGTAAATTTTATCCCGGTTTTGGCAAAATGCGGGGAATTTTTTAATGTTCACAGCCTTATATTCTTCCCGTGACAAATGCTTTCCGTCGGGTTTCAATCCCTATAAAAATTTTAAAAAAAGTGTAAAATATACATATAATAGAGTTTTTATATAAGGGGGCATACCTTTATAATAAAAAATTCATTATAGACCAGCTCGCAGTCCAGTTTTTTATCGCCAAAATGCCTCCAATACTTGTTCTTAAAAACATCATAGTTCACAAAGTGAGCCCATGTTGTATTGAATAACGAAAATTTGCGGCGGAGTTTTTCCTCTTTGTCATCAACAATATCATCGCCATCATCCCCTCTTTTTAATTGTTGCATATACATGTTCATGTGCTTTCGAGCATCCATTTCGTATGTTCCCTCGAGCATTTCAGAGAATTTTTTATAGGTAATGAATATTGGAAAATGATCCTCTGTTAGTTGATAAAACGAGTGAATCTCACTTAGATCCTTATCTTCATCTCCTTCTTCCTGCATTTCATCATTCTCATCGTGGTCTTCTTGTTCTTTTTTTCTAACAAAGTCGTGGAACTGAGCTAATGACATTTTTGTCTCCGCAAATACCGCAGATTTTTTCAACTTGTGAAAATATTCCTTTACCCGATGGCATAGATGATGGCTCGCAGTGATGAATATTTGCCTCTTGTGAGAATTATTGATATAGGAGGCAAGTAGTCTAAACACAATGCATGTGGTTTTCCCTGTACCTGTGAGAAAATGGAATTAAATAGGTTGTTCACACGTTTGACAGTCAAAACAAGATACTACCTGATCGACCAATTATGATAGTTGAAGTTGGATTGTTGATGATTTCGTGCTCTACTTTCGAAACTTGAAAAGTAAAACCAGTGCCACCCATTACCAGCGATTTAAATAAATTCTAAAAACAATATAGTCCTTTAACTTAAAATTCTTGGTCAATATAATATCAATGCGACCTTTACCTTTGACAAAGGAATGAATTTATTTGTAACAAGCATTTTATGAACTTCTAGAAGCCTTTCGTCATCCATTCGAGAGCTATAAAATTCGTTCTCAGTAGACGTTGTTGGCATTTCCTCTCCAAATAGTATTGGTAAAATTATATCATTTTTACCGATCAATCGAATGGTACACCGATGAATTTGCTCAGCTTTGTAAACCTGATGAGCTATTCTGAGAATTTTTAGAGTTGCATCAATTTGATCTTGACTGGAAGTGATAACCCAAATTTTCACGATTTGCGTAAGTTGATAGCTACGGACAGAAAATCCAGAGTCAACTTGCCAAAGGATTTTTATGCTGTCGTGATCATGGAGTTCCGTTTCATAAACGGGGATTGCGAAAGATGAAATTTTATTGTTTAGTCTGTGCTTATCCCAAGCACCAGAAGATATGTTTCCGAGTTTTTTCATGATTGCTTTAACCGCCAGAGGTGAGTTCAAACGCGACATAAATTTGACTGCGTTTTCACTTATCAGTATGTCCCATGGTCCAAGTCTGTCATCTTCGCTAAACTCAAATGGAAGGCGGAAACAGTGTTCCAGTGGTGTAATTGCTCTTTCTTCTTCCATAAACGAAGAGTACTTGTAAGATGGAAATAAGAATGCTTGTTCCCACACTATTGATAGTGTGATCAACATACACATATATGTGTTCATGTTCAGTATACGTAACGATAACAATGTAACACTACACACTAACGTTAATTTCCGGTCTCGTAAATTCTTTGTTTTTAAATTGTCTCGTGCGCTTGCGATTCATTTATTAATAACGATAAATTATCCAATATTCTTACAAAATTTTGTTACTCACAAATGAAACGAAAAATGATGCGCTTTACGGAAAAAAAATCTAGTGCTTTTAACATCGATTAAATGTATCTGGTCCCTATACTCATTTTAAAGTTAATAACCTAGAGAATGTCTAAAAAACCTAAAAAAATGTTAGTATTGCATTCTAAAGAAATTAAATAATCTATGTGAATATTTTTATTTCATATACAAACAGATTTTTTATCAGGAAGGATTGACCTAATAAAAATGCTCCGCTTTATGAGAACTATCTGCATACCAATGTTCAGCTAAATTGGTAACAAGTTTGTTAGTTATAGATCCGAAGTACCAGATTATTGCTAGTAAAAATAATACAACCATTTCTTTACCTTTCTAAGAAATTAAGTGATCTACATGAATACATGTCCATGTATACAGTCGACGTTTAATTCATGCACTAAATTTCGTTTTATGAATGTTGAACTATTAATGCTATTTAATTGATGTTGAAATATAAACACTATATATTAAAATCCTAATTTTCCGATGCTATTTTCGATCCAGACCACCAATTTAACGGAGCAACATTCTCATCAAGTGGTTTATCCAGGTGACTAAAAGTTTATTATGTTCCATTTGTTCAAATAATTAAAAAGATTTGATTGTTTGAATGTTGAGATTACTTTATTTTTTTTTGTTCGTACTTCAAGTTTTTTAAGATGACTTCAAGGAGTTGAAACACCAGTAGTGAATTTATACCGTTGATGACACATTTTGCAGTACTTTCCCAAGGCATTTTTATAAAATATAACTAAACAGTTGAACTGGTTGCATTAACAAAATTTGTAATAAATTCGATAAAGCTATCAGTTTCAATAATAGTTGCTGAGATTTTAACACGATGATTCATCTGGCTCGATACTTTCTTGTCTTTCGAAATGAACAAACTCAAAAATCTTCATCCAATAAGAAATGAAAATAAGCGTGATATTTGGGAAATTGATTTTAAAATCGACAGAAAAAGCATCAAATTAGGCCACAACGACAAAGATTACGACCACCAAAACGAACGGACAGAAATAGAAACAAATAGACGCGATCATTATAGTTTCAGAATATAATACAAATAAATTATTAATGTCAGAAAATTATTTTTTATTTAGTCAAATTTCATTATTAATAATTTTATGTCAAAAGATTACTTTTATAATCGAATTTCGTTATTAATTTTGTCAAATATTTGTTAATAACCAAGTAATGCATAAAACCTTGTAATGATCTCGGTTTGAACAGGTTCGATCGGTTTATTCGTTTTGATCAGTTTGACCGGTTTGAAATCGGTCTCAAAAAACCGTTTCAAGCCAATTCAAACTGAACCGATACAACTCTAGTTTTTCATGCATTGTCAATTATTTGTCCTCCATATATGGCAGAAAATAATAAAGTAATACATGTAGAATCAAATAATGAAATCGAAGAGTTTATTTAATCGACACCAAATTGAGAGAATACCTTTTGAAGAAATTACTGATATTAAGAATATTGCCAAGGAAGGATTTGTAGTGTACAAAGATATTCGGAATAGGAAAATAGTTGCATTGAAATCAGCCATGAAAATAAAAGAATTATTGCATGAGGTAATTAATTATTAAAGATGGTGTCTAGATAATATGCGAAACCTATTTTGTAGTTATTTATTCACTTTTTATTCTAATTTATTTATATCATAATAATAATTCAATGGAGGCTAAATTGACACGGTAAAATTATGGTTAATTTTATTTATATCTATTAATTATATTAACTTTGATTAGTGATGATTCAAAATGTAAGAAATTAACGATTTTTTATTTTACATTTGCCTTTTAATTCAATTTGATATTAATTTATTTATCTAATCCATTTTATTTTAGCTAATAAGAATCAATGATTTTATCTTACATTTTTCATTTTCATTTTATTTATACAAGCTAAAATAAGTATAAATTATAAATAAATTAATAATCTAAAATATTTATTAATTTTATATAATTAATGAAATTAATTATTATAAGATATATTTTCAGAGGATAATATTATACTTAATTTAATAAATTAATAATAATAAAGAATTAATAAAGATAAAAAGAAATAATTAAAAATAATAATAATAATCTAAATCAATAATTAGAGAATAAAAAATAATTATTTATATAATAATATATAATTATGATAATTATTTAGATATGGTCTGAGTAAAAAGATTTGTACCTCAAACAAATATTAATAGATTATTTTTCAAAAAATTTTTAATTCTGTCTTATTTAATTAAGCTATTAGATATTGAGATTTATTTAAATATAAAATTTTTTTATTATATATCTTTTATAAAAAATTTTTACTAATAATAACTTTTTTGAATTATTATTTCTTAAATTTTATTATATAAAATTCAATTGAAATTAATATAAAAATTATATAGTAATAATTTAATGATTATACTCTAAATCTTAATTTCTTTATAATTACTAATTCAATTTTATGAAATATAGAATTTATATTTATAAATCTAAGACAATTTACTTATATAAATTAAAGTTTTAATATTTTTTTTAAAAAATTTTATTTTAGTCTTTTTAGAAAAGTATTGCTTTATTTATTATTAAAATAAATTATAATAGAGTATAAAAGTTAATTTAAATTATTTTTTATTTAATATAAAAAAATCTTTGAAATTAGCTAAAATTTAAATGATTTTTATTAGAAGTTATTATTAATTTTTATATTAAATACAAATCTTTTTGCATAGAATTATAACTATATATAAAATTAATCTTTAAAATATAAAAAAATAAATAATACTAAAAGTATTAATTAAAAATTTAAATTAATAAAAATAGAAAAAAATAATCCAGTTAAAATTTATTATAATAATCTTAAAATTAAGTTTTGTAATAATTTCAGTATAAATAAGATATTTATTATTTGTAATAATTCTTTTTAATATATATATAAATCTTGAAAAGTTAAAATTAAAAATATTCTAAATGAAAAATAAAATTAATTTTATTATTATTTTAGTTAAATACTATATTTATATATTATAAAAGAGATATATTATTTTTTGCTAAATTAAAGTATATAAATAATAATATTATTATCATAATAACATAAATTTCTTTAATTTAATAATCTTTCTTTAGTTATATAAAACTCTCTTTTTCTTTCACTCTATAATTTATTATATAATTTATCACATAATTTGAATTATTTTTATCTAATTATCTTATTATATTTAAATTCTAAGTTTATAATTATCCTTTTAAATATCATATTTATCCTAAATTTGAGATTTACTTTTTTAATTCACATTAATTTTTTATATATATATATAGTAGATTAATTAGTTAATACAGTTATAGATCTCTTTTTTTATATTTATTCTTCTAAAAATCTTTATATATAGTATTTTAATTTTAATAATACAAGAATCTTAATATTTTGATCATAGTATTTGATATTTTAGTTACAGTAATTCAATTATAAAAGGTTATAATATATATATTTAGATAGATATAATTAAAAAATGTATAAAAGAATCTACTCTCTCAGATAAAATAAATTCAGACTTGAAAAACATAAATTTAATAGTTAATTATTTTTAAATTATGTTAATACATCTTAATAAAATTCTCTACTTAAAATAAGTCATACTTTTGATTTATATTTTTGTATATATTAATTGTTATACTTTTTAATTGATTATTTTTATTTTTATTTATATAAATTATTACATTTTTTAGTTATATTTTTCTTTGATTAATAGTAGCTTCACTTATTAATCATCATAAATCTTTAGTTTTATTAATTAATAGTAGCTTTACTTATTAATTATAATAATTTTTTTGATTTATATTATTCTTTTCTTTTACTATTTTCTCTTTGAAAGACAATATCTGTAAATATTGGCATAGGTCTTAAAAATCTTTGTCATTATTAAAAGTATAATCTAATTTCTCTCTCTTAGCCCTTTAATTATTTTAGTCTCTCTCAATTCTATATTGTTAAGGTAAATTCAAGTAAAAATTCACTTACTAATTTGTCATAATAATATAAGTAAAAATTAAAAAAATAAATATAATTAAGTTATTATTCAGAATTATAATCTATTTTTTATAATTATAATTATGATTATAACTAAATAACTATTATAATTATAGCTAAAAGTTATAATTCTAATTATATATAGATTATAACTCTTAATTATATTTATTTTTTTTAATTATTATAATATAAGAAATCTTAACTTATCAATACTCTTAAAATCTATTAGCATTCTATATAGACAAAATTTTAAAAAAATAAACTGGTAATATTATTCTTTAAGATATATTCTATTAAGTTATTGATCAGAATTTTAAAAAAATTATTATATAAAAAGTTATTAATATTTAAAGTTAAATATTTTTTATATATTTTAGCATTTTTAATTAAAATTAAAATAGATTTTTATTATATGAAAATTATTTTATTGGTTAATTTTATAATAATTATATATACATAATTAATTTATAAATTATATTACTCCTAAGTTACATATATTATTAAAAAATAATTAAGATATATATAAGTTAGAAATATTATTTATAAATATATATTCCTATTAATCAAGAAAAAGTCATAATATTATCTTAGATAAAAAAAATAAAAGCAAGTAAATATGTTATTCAAGAAGAATGATTGCTATATTTATCAAGAGAACAAGTAAATTTTCATGAAATTACAAGAAATAATTATTACAGAATTTTCAAATATAATATATAAAAAAAAATTAAAAGAAATTATTAAAATAAAAAATAAGTAGATAGAAAAAGAATTAATAAAGTTCAAGAAGATAAGAAAAAATT